TATTTTCTGGATCTTTGTATGGTGTTGCTGAAGGGTTACATGAAGAGGTCCCCCCACACATCTTTTGGGAACTCCATCCTCCGGAACAGATGTTATTGCAGAGATTCCAGTTCCTGACAACCCGCAGAGCTGAACATTTCATTGTCACAAGGCTAGACCACCCTGTCTGAGATCAGGATATACTGGATGAGGTCACTTACCTCTGAGAGTACTCATGACAAAATGTTCTTCATAACAGCTCATTTAAAATCTGACTTACAAAACCGGTTAAATAAAGCATGTGCTGCCTATTGTTGTCATGTTCCCTATGAATATGATTCAGATTATTGCACGTGTGACACTGCGCAGTACAGTCAGGGTGCCGGTAAAATGTGTGTGGGTGTGGGTGCATCAAAGGTCTTATGAATGACACAAAAGACCTCCAATTAATATGCCAAGTGGGATCAAACTGTTTGTTATTCCAGGTCTCTGAGGATCTGAAAAAAAACCTATATGGCAGGAAATCGAGCTTGCTTATCCTGAATAAAACTGGCAGTGTTAAAGTGATTGTAACCCCTCACCTTGTAAAACAACCCATTCAGTTTCAAATAGAAATGAAAGGTAAAACATTTATGTACAGATATAAAAAAACATAAATACCTCTGTGTCTGTTTTTTTCATAAATGATCACAATCCCTCTGTTCTCAGCTGCATAGAGAGGTGGTGGAAAAGAAACAGCAGTACACTGAACTTCCCAGTGACTGGCTGTGTAGGGGGCATGTCAGGACTAGAGATGGGAAGGCCTAGGAAAAAATGAAAAAATTGGAGGAAAAAAAAAAAATTGGAGGAAAAAAAAACTTTTTTTTTCCCACTTTTTTTCAAAGCCATTTTTGTTTTATTCCAGAAACATTGGGGGAAAATGTAAGCGTGGAATATGTTCTTTTAAAATGATAAATATAATATCTCTGACATGGTATTCCAACTATATAACATGAAGACCTTAATGAAAGATTTCTGATAATTTATGTAAGACAAACCCTGGAATACAATTCAAGTAACACTGTACGTTTTAATGCAGTTCTGCCACTAGGGGGCACTGCAGGGGAAATGCTCCAATTTAGTTTGCTTGTGGGCTCCATCTTGTACCTCCTACAGTTGGGTGATTGTTGGGATACAGTAGATGATAGTTTCTGTCCTCCTCTCAGGCCTTAATTGACAGGTAAGAGAGTAAATTAACAAATTTGTTTATTCTTATATAGCACTACCCTCTTGAGGGCCGCTGAATTTGTTTTGGGTCCCCCTATGTTCTGCATGGCCAGGCAGCACGCATCTTCCATAATTGCACATTAAAAGTCAGTAAACAGTCCTTGAGCTGGTTTTTATTGATGTTTTTATTAAGGGGTAACAACTTGGATGGGGTCTAGGGATATATGGGATGCCCAAGGAACTGAAAACTTGAGGACAAACTTCTTAGCAACCTGTACACTGTACAAAGTGTAGATTAAAAAAAAATAGTACTGTCTTTTTAAGGAACACAGATGTCCCCTTGATGTACCTCCTCAGACCCCAGATGAATCCTCTTCACCCAGCTGCACTGAGGGTATCCCTGGGCAAGGGATCCCAAAAGCTAACAATGAAGTAGGTTCTGATGAGAACTAGTTGGGTCTTGCACCTGACCGCCAATTAGGAGTACTCACATTGTCCTGTCCTGTAAGCTTGGTGAGTTGGTGGCTGCCTTCAGGCCTTACACTCAGCTGGCTCCTTCCCTATTGCACAGGTTGTTCTCCCAAGGAGACGGTGGGACAGTGGAGATTCTCCCAGCAACCGACCTGTAGGTAGGCTCTCTTCCCTGGGGCCCCCTCCCAGGCCCCACACTCCAGCCTTCCTCTCAGTCCATCTTCCACCTGACACACTCTCCTGCTGCTCAGGCTTCACTACATTAAAGGGTGGTCCTCGGTCGCCATGTCCAGCCTTGTGCAGATCTGTGTAGATCTGGGCCTCCTGTCCTCCTCCAGAAGGTTCTCTAAGTTTCTGGAAAGGTGGGAGGACTGCAGAAGCCCTGACCTGTAGAACCTCCCAGCCTGTCCTGAGGTGAACTTCTGCCTCACTCCCAGGCTGACTCAACCCAGGCTGCTACCCAGCCTCTAACTAACAAAATAACAAAGCCTATCACTATAGGACATTACACTTATAACCTTTAAAACACTTGCATCACTGTCCCGCACTGATCCCAGCTGGCCCTCTCCTCTATTCCAGGTGCCAGTGTGTGATACCTGGGATGGGCAAGGATCAGCACACCAGCAATGATCTAGAAGCTTTCCTGAGCTACTCTGCATACGGAAAACCACTACAGACCCCAATATTATGCCCTTCTGTTTCTATGCTGTGCTCTACTGGCTCCCCTATACTGTTTTCTCCTGGTCTCCCTATATGTTCCCTCCTGTGCAGGGGCGGACTGACCATTTGGAAACTCAGGCACTGCCCGAGGGCCCGGGGTCAGTAGGGGGCCCCATGAGATGCCCCTGGTACCTTTTTCATAGGCTTTTTTGAGTTTGGGCAAGGACACAGGGGCCCCATGATCCCCTATTGCCCGGGGGCCCCATGAGTTGTCAGTCCGCCCCTGCTCCTGGCTCCCCTTATATTGTTCTCTCCTGGCCCCCCCTATACTGTTCCCTCCTAGCCCCCACTATACTGTTCCTTCCTGGATACCCTATACTGCTCTCTCCTGGCCCCCCTATACTGTTCCTTGCTGGATCCCCTATACTGTTTTCTCCTGCCCACCCCTCTCCCCTGTAATATTCCCTCTAAGCCCCCCCCCCCCCCCCCCGCTGTGTTCCCTCCTGGCGCTCCTATACTGTTCCATGATGGATCCCCCAGTCAGTTCTCTACTGGCCCCCCATGCTGTTCCCTCTTGGCCCACCACACTGTTCCCTCTTGGCCCCCCCTATACTGTTCCTTCCTGGATCCCTTATCTATCTCCCTATACTGTTCCCTCCTGGCCCCCCATACAATTCTCTCCTGGCCCCCCTCTACTCTTCCCTCCTGGTCCCCCATGCAGTTCTCTCCTGGTCCCCCATACTGTTCCATCCTGGTCCACCACACTGTTCCCTCCTGGCCCCCCTATACTGTTCTTTCCTGGATCCCCTAAACTGTTCTCTCCTGGACCCCTATACTGTTCAATACTGCCCCCCCATACTGTTCTCTCCTGACTCCCCTGTACTATTCCCTCTAAGCCCCCCCCCCCATACTGTGCTCTTCTGGCCCCCCGATACTGTTCTCTCCTGTCCCCCTATACTGTTCCCTTCTGGTCCCCCTATACTGTTCCCTCCTGGCCCCCATACAGTTCTCTCCTGTCCCTCTGTGCTGTTCCCTCCTGGTCCCCCTATACTGTTCCCTCCTGGCCCTCATACAGTTCTCTCCTGTCCCTCTGTACTGTTCCCTCCTGGTCCCCCTATACTGTTCCCTCCTTGCCCCCATACAGTTCTCTCCTGTCCCTCTGTGCTGTTCCCTCCTGGTCCCCCATATAGTTCTCTCCTGGCTCTCTGTATTGTTCACTCCTGGCCCCCCTAATCTGATTATTGGAGGAGAGCAAATAGCTCTGACCACACTGTGCTATCCTGCCTGGTATGGTCAGTATTTAATTGGAAAGCAGAGAGACTGTCAAGAACACTAGGGATTTCACTTTATCATACAAGTACATGGTACAGCAGGCACATATCAGGAATATGAAATGTTGGGTTTACATATTTACAAAGTGATTGAAAAGTATATATTTTTTTTTAATAAATAAATGTTATACTTCCTCTTCTGGATTCCCCGACTGGAAGCTGCTTCTTATTGTGGCACACCTGTAGTCTTAATCCCAAATCGCACTGCCTGCATCCATAGACACAGACAGTGCAGCTCGGACCCTCCACCCCAATACCCCACTCCTTAGCCATAGAATTTGACTGGTAGCAGCAGGAACCAATGGTTCCTGCTGCCTGAGCAAAGCCTATGAGAATGGGAAGAGCCGCTACAACCAGCACAGCATGAGATTGAGTGAGGACTTTAAATGTGAACCCTCTAATGTTCTGGATTCTTTTCATAAGTAATATAACAATACATAATCAAATTGCACCTGTCAATTTTTGTACACTGTGTATGCTACATACTCTGGACCTCTGCATGTTGTATTGTATAGTATTTGCCAAGACCGCTGCACCCTGCAGAACAACAGTACATCATATACTTTCAAGTCCTCTGTACACCATGCTGTACATTATATACCCTAGACTGCTGCATCCTGTGCACTGTGCTGTATGTTACATCCTCTGGACTGCGGCACTCTTTACTGTACTGTATTGTACATTATATACTCTAGAATGCTGCACTCTGTACACCATCTGTTCATTACATACTCTGTAAAGCTGCAATCTATACACTGTGATGTTTGTAAGAACATACTGCTGATTACTGTACACCATGCTATACATTGTATATTCTAGACCGCTGCACCCTATACAATGTGCGCTATTCTTTACATTACACATTCCATATCACTGCAATCTGTACACTTTGACATGTGTCACATACTGCTGATTGCTACAATTTGTACACCGTGCTGTACATTATATACTCTTACACTATGCTGTATGTTACATATTCCATACTGCTGCATTATGTACACTGTGATGTGCAGAACATACTAATGATTGCTGCAGTTTGTACACCGTGGTGTACATTACATACACCAGTCCGCTGTACTTGGTATACTATATTGTTTGTTATATACAATGGAAGTATGCACTCTGTACATTGTGCTGGGTGCTACATACTTGTGCTTTGTATGCCACAGTGTACATCCATATAGTCCAGTCTGAGGCACTCACTATGCCACTCTTTCTCAACCAGGGTTCCGTGAAACCCTAGGGTGCCTCCAGAAGTTGCTAGGCATTCCTTGAGAATTAGCATTCTCTTCTCTAAAATCAGTGACTACTGACACCAATGATCTTTTTAGCCATCCATATGAAGGGGTTAACTCCCACTGGCCACAAATGTAAGGGGCATTCTTCCCACTGACCACCAATGTAAGGAGCATTCTTCTCACTGAACACCAGTGCAATGTGACCTTTCTCTGACTGATTACCAATGTAATGGGATCCTTTGCACAGTGATCACTAATGTAGGGTGGTCCTTCTCCCACTAGCCACCAGTTTAAAGGGACCCTTCTCCACTGACCACCAATCTAAAGAGGCCGTTCTTCACTGACCACCAATCTAAGGGGACCCTTCTCCACTGACCACCAATATAAAGGGGCCCTTCTCCACTGACCACCAATCTAAAGGGGCTTTTCTCCACTGACCTCTAATCTAAAGAGACCCTTCCTCATTGACCACCTATTTAAAGGGGCCCTTCTTCACTGACCACCAATCTAAAGAGGCCCTTCTTCACAGACCACCAATCTAAAGGGGTCCTTCTCCACTGACCACCAATATAAAGGGGTCTTTCTCCACTGACCTCCAATCTAAAGAGGCCCTTCCTCATTGACCACCTATCAAAAGGGGCCCTCCTTCACTGACCACGAATCTAAAGAGGCCCTTCTTCACTGACCACCAATCTAAAGAGGTACTTCTTCACTAACATCCAATCTAAAAAGGCCCTTCTTCACTAACCACCAATCTAAAGAGGTCCTTCTTCATTAACCACCAATCTAAAGAGGCCCTTCTTCACTAACCACCAATCTAAAAAGGCCCTTCTTCACTAACCACCAATCTAAAGAGGCCCTTCTTCATTAACCACCAATCTAAAGAGGCCCTTCTTCACTAACCACCAATCTAAAGAGGCCCTTCTTCACTGACCACCTATCTAAAGGGGCCATTCTTCACTGACCACCAACGTAAGCGAGCTCTTCAATGACCACCAATGTAAAAGGGCGCTTTACCATTAAAATAAGGAAACACTACAACTTTCTTTCCAGGAAATATTTTTTATTATTTGTTCCAATGTCATTATTGCTACTGAAAATCATTTTTATATACAGCAGCCCTGGTTGTAAATTATTTTATATATGCCACATTCCTTTCTTTTATTTAATCTTCTATCTCAGCATACCGTTCACACTAATGTACCCGGAGCTGTAGATATGGTAATTATTATCAGGGGTTTTGTGAGGCCCAATTTATAAGGTAATGTTTTAAAAAAAAAAGAATTATGTGTTTGCATAAAATATAAAACATTATTAAACATTGCAGAATATCGATCCCGGGTGTTATCTAATTGCCTTTGGGGATAGGGAAGAATTTTCTTCCTTATTGGAACAGACTTTATCAGGGTTTTTGCTTTTCTCTGGATCAACTACAGATTTAAAGCCCAACTGAAGTTTAAATCAGCCGAATTCATTCCAGGAGCATAAAAACAAGAGGTGTTCAATGTCTGACAATTCATTTTTTTTTCTGAAGCAGCCACAGCCTCAAAAGGAAAGCCTGCCCCCCCCCTGCCATCAGATGTGGAGTGGGGCCCTTGCACTCTGTGTGGAAGTAGCAGCCTTACTGCAGAGATACAACACATTCCCTGCTGAATCACACCTATAGTGCTACAACCAGCAAAGCTCATTCAGCCCCACAGAGAGCAAGGATCCCACTCTGCAGCATGCTGGCAGGTGACAGGCTTTTCTATCCAGACTAGAGTGTAGCTGCTTTCTAATGAAAACCAACAGTAACATCTTTTGTTTTGACAAATCTGGAATGTACATATAAAAAGTGCAGCACTTATATATTTAAAACATGCAAAATATCAAAGTGCAAGAGTATATAACTGCAAAACGCAGGCAGGGTATAATTTTATGATGCCCCTTATAGTCTCAATTGACACAAATGTTCACAATCTCCCAGTGAGTGGGGTGAAGTGAAGGATCAAATGGATCCCTGTTGACACACGGTGATAGCCAAAAAAAGATGATGTATGGTGATATCCAAAACTGGTAAAAGATTGTGCACTCACCAGATGCACAACCAATATGCGCATGTAAGAGATAACCCCTCTCAAGGTATGATTCCAGGACTCATCAAAGGCAAAGTCTGGTCAATTTCTGCGTTGTAGACCCTCAGCTGTCATGCATGACTCTGTCCCCTATTGCTCTTTGCTCTGCAGGTAGTAGGAAGCTCACCAGAGAGCCCCAGAGAGAAACAAGGAGGCCAGAATAGCGTGATACTGCTTAAACATGTGTGCGTTTATTTCATCCAGCAAAAAGGGTATAATAAGACAATACTGACCAGACAAGAAAGTTGACCGCCGGGACCCCAATGGTGCCGGCGGTGGTAAAAAACGTCACTGTGCCACAGTTCCTTACTGACGCGTTTCGTGCAACCGCACTTACTCATAGGGGGTATGCTCTGGGCGCAGGACATTTGATAATGCATATATATAGAAAAATCCGCGCACGTTTAATAAACGTGCCCCATTTTGTGATAGACTTATGTCTTCAAAAATGCGCCATTTTGTTGAAGTCCGCACATGCGCGATCATCATATATACGGGGTTAAATCCACCGTTTCGATCGCGCATGTGCGGGCGCCATTTTACTGGAGTACAAATGTAATTGTGTCACCGCCAAGCGAGAGAACCAGAAAAGGGAAGCAAATGATATTGAGCAAATGATATTGCGGCACAGTGACGTTTTACCACCGCCGGCACCATAGGGGTCCCGGCGGTCAACTTTCTTGTCTGGTCAGTATTGTCTTATTATACCCTTTTTGCTGGATGAAATAAACGCACACATGTTTAAGCAGTATCACTCTATTCTGGCCTCCTTGTTTCTCTCTGGGGCTCTCTGGTGAGCTTCCTACTACCTGCAGAGCAAAGAGCAATAGGGGACAGAGCCATGCATGACAGCTGAGGGTCTACAACGCAGAAATTGACCAGACTTTGCCTTTGATGAGTCCTGGAATCATACCTTGAGAGGGGTTATCTCTTACATGCGCATATCGGTTGTGCATCTGGTGAGTGCACAATCTTTTACCAGTTTTGGATATCACCATAAATCATCTTTTTTTGGCTATCACCGTGTGTCAACAGGGATCCATTTGATCCTTCACTTCACCCTACTCACTGGGAGATTGTGAACATTTGTGTCAATTGAGACTATAAGGGGCAGCATAAAATTATACCCTGCCTGCGTTTTGCAGTTATATACTCTTGCACTTTGATATTTTGCATGTTTTAATATATAAGTGCTGCACTTTTTATATGTGAATTTTTGGAGGTTGTTTTTGGTACCTTTTGTGTTCAGCGGCTTTGTTACATTTAGCGCTCACATATACCCATTTTTACAGCAAATCTGGAATGTGTTTAGCTAATTTAAATTAAAAGTTCATTTGGGTCTTAGGGTTCGTAATGTGCTAGTAAGGCAACATTCCATTATTGCTATTGGTAGAGCTACTTATCATATGTAGTGACAACCAAACAAGAGAAAGAAGAGAGGATTTTATGTCTACTGAATATAAAGAGCCTTACGACTCCTCTCAACAATTCCTGCACCCTCTTTCCCCTACAGTTAAAATGGAACTGCCCCCAGCCCTTTGATTAGAAATCTGTATATATACCTGTAGAAGCCTTCTTTGTGTAGACATCCAGAAGGCCAGAGACTGCTGCTGTGTGCTACCAACTTGGATGTGATGTTAGTAGTCCCAGCAGACTCAGAGCTATCACTCAATTGACACTCTGTAGTATTCCCCTTCGTGCTTCATAAAAGGTTTTGTAAGGATATGAGTGGTGTGGTTGGGCCAGCACAGAAAGTAATGAGACAATCCCAGAGGAGGAGGGGAGGGCTATGATATGGAGAGGAGGAGAGGGCTGTGACTTGGAGAGGAGGAGAGGGCCGTGACATGGAGAGAAGGAGAAGACTATGACATGGAGAGGAGGAGAGGGCTATGGCATGGAGAGAAGGAGACGTCTATGACATGGAGAGGAAAGATCTATGACATGAAGATGAGGAAAGATCTATGACATGGAGAGGAGGAGAGAGCTATGACATGGAGAGAAGGAGAAGTCTATGACAAAGAGATGAGGAAAGATCTATGATATGGTGACATGGAGAGGAGGAAAGATCTATGACATGGAGAGGAGGAAAGATCTATGACATGGAGAGGAGGAGAGGGCTATGACATGGAGAAGAGGAGAGGGCTATGACATGGAGAAGAGGAGAGGGCTATGACATGGAGAAGAGGAGAGGGCTATGACATGGAAAGGAGGAGAGTTCTATGACACAGAGAGAAGAAGAGGGATATGAGAAGGCTATGACATGGAAAGGAGGAGAGGGCTATGATGTGGAGAGGAGAAGAGGGCTATGATATGGAGAGGAGGAGAGAGCTATGACACAGAGAAGAGGAGAGGGCTATGGAGTGGGGAAGAGGAGAGGGTCATGGCATGGAGAGGAGGAAAGGACTATGACATGGAGAAGAGGACAGGATTATGACATGGAGAAGAGGAAAGGGGAATGACATGAAGAGGAGGAGAGGAATATGAGATGGAAAGGAGGGAAAGGCCATGACATGGAGAGAAAGGGAAGGCTATGACATGGAGGGGAGAAGGGGGGGGCAGTGACATGGAGGGGAGGGGAATGCCATGACATGGAGAAGAGGAGAGGGCTGAGTATGGAGAGGAGGAGAGGCCTATGACATGAAGAAGAGGAGAGAGCTAGGTATGGAGAGAGGAGGCCTATGAAATGAAGAAGAGGAGAGGGGCATGACATGGAAAAGAGGAGAGGGCTATGACATAGAGAGGAGGGGAAGGCCATGCCATGGACAGGAGGAGAGGACTATGACAAGGAGAGGAGGAGAGGGCTGTGACATGAAAAAGAGGAGATTGCTTGGTATGGAGAAGAGGAGAGGCCTATGACATGAAGAAGAGGAGAGAGCTGGGTTTGGAGAGAGGAAAGGCCTATGACATGAAGAAGAGGAGAGGGGTATGACATGGAAAAGAGGAGAGGGCTATGACATAGAGAGGAGGGGAAGGCCATGCCATGGACAGGAGGAGAGGACTATGACATAGAGAGGAGGGGAAGGCCATGCCATGGACAGGAGGAGAGGACTATGACATAGAGAGGAGGGGAAGGCCATGTCATGGATAGGAGGAGAGGACTATGACATGGAGAGGAGGAGAGGGCTGTGACATGAAGAAGAGGAGAGTTCTGCGTATGGAGAGGAGGAGAGGCCTATGACATGAAGAAGAGGAGAGAGCTGGGTATGGAGAGAGGAGAGGCCTATGACATGAAGAAGAGGAGAGGGGTATATGACATGGAAAAGAGGAGAGGGCTATGACATAGAGAGGAGGGGAAGGCCATGCCATGGACAGGAGGAGAGGACTATGACATAGAGAGGAGAGGATGGCCATGCCATGGACAGGAGGAGAGGACTATGACATAGAGAGGAGGGGAAGGCCATGCCATGGACAGGAGGAGAGGACTATGACATAGAGAGAGGAGGGGAAGGCCATGCCATGGACAGGAGGAGAGGACTATGACATGGAGAGGAGGAGAGGGCTGTGACATGAAGAAGAGGAGAGGTCTGGGTATGGAGAGGAGGAGAGGCCTATGACATGAAGAAGAGGAGAAAGCTGGGTATGGAGAGAGGAGAGGCCTATGACATGAAGAAGAGGAGAGGGGTATGACATGGAAAAGAGGAGAGGGCTATGACATAGAGAGGAGGGGAAGGCCATGCCATGGACAGGAGGAGAGGACTATGACATAGAGAGGAGAGGATGGCCATGCCATGGACAGGAGGAGAGGACTATGACATAGAGAAGAGGGGAAGGCCATGCCATGGACAGGAGGAGAGGACTATGACATAGAGAGGAGGGGAAGGCCATGCCATGGACAGGAAGAGAGGAATATGACATAGAGAGGAGGAGAAGGCCATGCCATGGACAGGAGGAGAGGACTATGACATA